TATATATATACTGGTGATCCAGTGGTTAGCGCGTCGACCCACAGTGCAGAGGTACCGGGTTCAAATCCAGCTCCGACCTCCCTGTGTGGAGTTTGCATGTTCTCCCGGGGCCAGCGTGGGCTTTCTCCGGGTACTCCAGTTTCCTCCTAAATTCCAAAAACGTGCATGGCAGGCTGATTGAACACTCTAAATTGTCCCTCTGTGTGAGTGTGAGAGTGGAAGGTTGTTCATCTGTGTGTGCCCTGCGATTCGCTGGCAACCGGTTCGGGGTGTCCCCCGCCTACTGCCTAAAGACACCTGGGATGGGCTCCAGCACGCTCCACGACCCTTGTGAGGATAAAGCGGATCGAAAAATGGATGGATATACAGTATGTATATATAAATGTAAAAGTAGGTCACCTTTAACCTATGGTGGTGCATGACCACAATCACAGAAAGTTTTATGTCCTCAAGAACATAAAATGTCTTTTTTCTGTGCCACACGTGTGCTCTGTCTTTTCGGTTACATCTTGCCTCTCATACTTACTTTCCCATCATTTTATGTCACATTTTCATGTTGTATCTTACACAGTTTGTGTTCCCCCAGATTCTCTTCTCACATCAGTGTTCAATGTTTAACAGAAAACTTTTGTTTTTGGGGTTGTATGTGACGAAACAAAGCTCCAACTAGATTAGTAACAGATCTTGTGTTTGGAATTTCAACAAAATCTTCAGTTTTGTTTTTTTTTGTTTTTTTTGTTTTTTGCCCAGATTGTGAGTGTAGCGCGGCTGGCACTATTGACAACTCATGCAGACCCGATCCTCAAAGCAGAATATGCTTGTGCAAGCCTGGCTTCACTGGTGACCACTGTGACATGTGTGCACCGGGCTTCCATGGACTCAACTGCCAGGGTGAGAACATCAAGGCCAGCCATGGGCTCCCACTTGAATCTCGACATGGTCATGCAAGCCTACATGAGCAGAAGGCAGTGCAGTAGCACTCCCCGGCGGCAAAACCTTTAACACCCACACGCACACACGTTCCCAGACAAGCAGGCGCACACACTTTCACACCTAAATATTGACAAAAATGCAATCGGAGGTGTCTCTTGAATAATTGGTTTATGTGTCCTGCCACCCAGGATATACACACAGCTGTGTCAACAGTGTTTCTTTAAACTGTTTGTCATTGTAAGTAGCTTCACTTACGAAACATCATTCTGCTGATTCCGTTGTTTGTTTGTGTTTGTGTGTGTGTATGCGCAGCATGTCAATGTTCAGGTCCCGGTTGCCTGGATGGTTCCTGTGACACGCTACTGGGTCACGGTGTGTGTCGCAGTGGTTTCCACGGTTACAATTGTGACCAGTGTGCACCAGGCTACTTCAACTACCCACTCTGTCAACGTGAGTGACATCTGATGTGTTTGCATCAAATTGTTGTGTTAGCATGTTTTGATAGCGTCAAATGTTACAATAGAATCATGGAAACTTGTGTTGTCTTGTGCTATCCACAGTGTGCGGTTGCAGTTCTGTGGGCTCGCTGCCTGAGGTGTGCGACTCATCCGGTCGCTGTCTATGCAAAGCTGAATTCCAGGGTCCTCGGTGTGAACGGTGCCGATCTGGATTCCACTCTTACCCCAATTGTCAAGGTTATATGTCAACATACACATATGCTTTCAAATCTGGACCACAGGCTTGGACCTAGAATATAGACCTGGGACTTCGACCTAGGATATGGACGTGGGACATGGGTAAAGGATCTATGACATTGATGTAGTATTTAAAAAATGGACAAAGCACTGAAACGAGGATATGAACTAGGTCATGGGTGGTATGGTGCTCAACGAGTTAGCACAGAAGAGAGGTGCAGGGTTCCATTCTGGCTCCGGCCTTCCTGTGTCCCTTAATTGTCACTCGGTGTAATTGTGAGTGCGAATGGTTGTTCGTCCATGTGCAATTGGATGGCCACCATTTCAGAGTATACCCCGCCTACTGCCCGAAGACTGCTGGGATTGGCGTCAGCACGCCAGCGACCCTTCTTCGGACACGCGGATGAGAAAATGGATGGATGGTGGGATGGATGGATGAAGTAGGGCATGGACATAGGACAGGGGTGGCCAACCCACGGCTCGCGAGCCGCTTGCGGATCTTTGGCTGGTTCAGTGCGGCTCCCGGGCTTTCACATGACAAGTGTCGAAAACGCCTTGGCGGTGGCGCTGTCATTCAAACAATGGCACTAAGTACATCAGAATTTACGATGTCAGCCTATCATCAATCCCATTACTTGATTGACATACAGGGCAACCAGTCAGATGCCAACTGAATTTTGACCTTTACGTCACCGCTCATGCGCAACCAACGGCGCTAAGCGCTCAGATAATCAGCAAATTACCTCTGATTTTAAGGCAGGGGTGCCCTATACATCGATCGCAATCGACCGGGAGCCTTCGGACTGGTCCCAGGTCGACCGCGAGTGGCTGGAGGCTGGAAATGGGGGCGAGGGGGAGATTTGTGTGTCTGTGTGTTTTGGTTTCGTTCATCTGAGCTGCCGTTCTGGCTGTCGCTCATTGTTGCGTGCGTGCATATGCGTGTGAGTGCATGGTTGGACGCCCGCATGCGTGCGTGCGTGTGTATATCCTTGCACGTGCACGATCGGGTCCATCGCGGAAGGTTCGTCGCTTCAAAAGTGAATCTTCGGTCCAAAAAGTTTGCCCTATCTGGCAAGCTGACCCAAGTCGTAAGTAACCGCTGCAGCTCGCATGCAGACAGTGACTGCTTCGAGTGGCAACAACGGAATGCAAGCCAGATTTGAAGAGCATTGTTCAAGAGAAGGAATGCCAGAAGTCCCTGCACTAAGGCGCTAAGCAACATGCATAGTAAGAGAAAAACGTTTTTTTTTGTGGACTTGGTTGAACTGAGGGTTTGTCTGTGAGAGACACTGCACCCAATATTCATTGTTGAAAATGACTGGCCTGTGGTCGTAGTACTGTAGGAGTCAATTTCTGTCATTATCATGTTAGTGTGTGACGTTTACAAGAAATTTGGCTGAGCAGAAGTCTCTCTCTCTCTCTCTCTCTCTCTCTCTCTCTCTCTCTCTCTCTCTCTCTCTCTCTCTCTCTAACTCTTTATCTCTCGCTCTCTTTCTGTGTGTGTGTGTGTGTGTGTGTGTGTGTGTGTGTGTGTGTGTAAAGAACAGATGGGGTGCTGTTTATGTGTGCCCATGTGTACGATGTGGCTCTTCGCAGTAACACAGTAAAAAAAAAAAAAATAGCCTCTTAGTCTCTCACCAGTTGGCCACCCCTGACCGAGGACATGGGGCAAGCAAATACACTGAACAACTTGCATAGCTACAATTGTACAAGGGCATAGGACACAAAGGTTAAGGTTCCTTATTGGTCCTCAAATTTGGAAAGAAGGAAAGAAGCTGCAACACATCAAAGATGCCCAACAGAAACATCCGACAGCACAGTAAAAGATGAATAGACACACCAGCACTGGATGTTGCCACTCATACAATATCACAAATACACATTCATGTGACATCCTAGCACGCCAAAATAGCATCCATACAAGCATTCACATCACATCAAATCATGCCAAATCACCTCACCTCACCCCACTTCTGCATGTCAACATTCCAAGACATCAGTCACACATCCCATGGAGATGCTCAGAAATGGACCCAAGCACGCACGGTGGGCATGAGCCCAAGACTTGGACCTTTGACATGGACTCAGATGTAGACTTAGGACATCAATCTACACTGACCAAGGAATACAGTATAGACGTTGGACATGCACGGATGACTCTGATATGGAGCACAACAATGATGCCTCGATGTTGAGTGCTTCATATGTTGAGGTGTCAAAATCAAGTGTTCAGTCGTTATTGCAGTGTGCACGTGTGACCCTCGCACCTCATACGATACCAGCTGCACGGCGTCGGGACAGTGCCACTGCCGACCTAACTACAGCGGGGCTTCATGTGACCAGTGTGCACCCGGTTACTATGGCTACCCCAGCTGCACACGTGAGTGCTTGGCGATTTTTTTGTTTGTTAGTTTGTTTTTTAATTGATAGCCTCAACTGTTTTGTGTGTGTGTGTGTGTGTGTGTGTGTGTGTGTGTGTGTGTGTGTGTGTGTGTGTGTGTGTGTGCGTGTGTGTCCGTGTGTGCGCGCATGTGGGTGTCTGCGTGTTTTGCAGCATGCCAGTGTTCCGCAGAAGGTTCTCGCTATAACAGCTGTGATCAGGTGACTGGTCAGTGTGTGTGTCTGCACAACATTCATGGCCTACGCTGTGACAGCTGCGCTCGCGACACCTATGGCTTTCCAAACTGTCAAGGTAAACACACACACACACACACACACACACACACACACACACACACACACACACACACACACACACACACACAACAAAAAAA